ATGGGCGGCAAGTAATCAAAAGATCTTTTTAATTTTAAAATGAAATAAACAGGGGTTCTATCCATTTTCTGGCGAGTAAGCCCTCAATGGATTAGTTCCTGAGGTGACCACTTCTGTATTTTTGATGGAGTGCCATGCCTGTTCTTCCATTCCACCTGCTTCTGCAAAAGGTCTGGAGTCTTGGAGATGGCTGGCTCTCAGCTTTTGGACAGTTTCATGTTTCCCGCTTATCTCTCTTTTTATAAAAACAGAGTCTGCTTATCCTCGAAAATGGTATTCCTCCAAAATATCAGAATATCTTTTAGATAAACTAAGCGGGTTCTAATCTTCTGGCAACAAGCTACTTTAGATTTTTTCTTCTTTTATACCTGCTCCTGTTCTATTTTCAGTTTTCAGCTGAAATTATTGACTCCTCCAAGTCAGGGATCACGTGGGACTGTTCCGTTTTGAAGGCCAGCTTGAGTCTAGTTTGCTTTTGAGCCTAATTTTGGATTTCTTCGAGGCCCAAGTTTTTTCTGATTCCTATTGTTCCCAAGCCTTTTAATGTTTTGGGCCGTGTCCTTGGCCTGTCCACTCGTTTAATGGGCTGGGTCGTGCTGATGGGCTTGAAGTCGTCTGATACAAGCGGCCTAGGAGATGGTGTGGGCTTTTGTTTTTGGCGTGCTAAATTTGGGCCCAAACAGATAGTAAGTCAGACCCTTTTTTTTTTCCTTGGGGGGTATCAAAGGCAATTGCCTAACAGGAGACAAATTACCCTTAATCAATTCAAATGTTTCTTTTCGGAAATAAACTTATCCAAATATATAGTTCAATTTTATTTTGTATTTTCAAGATAAACATATAAAGCATGCATTTCTAAGAATAAAATGTATAAAATGATTGCAACCACGTTTGCAATAGTGCACATAAAATGCATTGCAAGGACAGAAGTTACGTATTGCAAAGAAAAATGCAATTGCATTCTATTAAGCAATGTTTTTATGCATTCTACTAAGTTTTTTTTTTTGCCCATGGATTACAACCTTTTGAACATACAATTAATTATGAAGGATTTATCATTAGTGAGAGATTCTACGTTTCATAATTATGCACAGATAATGATAATTGCGAGACTGAAATGCAAATGGGACTACTTTGATTGTCAATTGCATATTGAAATGCAAATTACACTACCTGTTTGTCAATTGTAAATCATATATTGTATTTACTATTTCAAAACACAACTTTATGGTACAATGCCCATTCACAATGCTAATGGGACGATTGTTTCAATTGGTATATAAACTATGATATAACAATCAAATTTACTTTAAAAGCTTATTCTCAATGGTACTATATCCTCATTAAAGCCAACATAAACTTCATTCATGTAATTGAAATTATTGTTCAATACATTCACTTTACAGAATCAATAATTATAAATCTAAAATCTCAAGTCATTATGTATAAAAAAAAAATTACAATCTTCAGATACAATGTTACAAATTCAAGTAGCCAAATAAATAGAGTCCAAAATAGTATATTAGTCTTGTACTTGGCCTAATTCTTTACCCCAACCTGAAAAACAATCACAAAACCATCAATAAAATGAATGGGAAACATAAAGCAATAGCTAATATGAAAACAATTACAAAGTCATCATTGTAAACAAAAAAATAACAAACCTACAACATAATTAACTTGAATAACATAAAGCAATGTGTCAATTTGGGGTAGAGATTTGTTCTTTCTTTTTTTAAAAAAAAAATTTACTTTTTGGATTGTATAACGATCATCAATCTTATAGGTTTTGAATATCAAATAAAAAAGTGCAAAGAAAGCAACCAAAAGCTGGGACCAACTTCAAACATTATCTCCAAGACCATGTACAACGGCATGGTGTTTGTCTTTACGTCCTCATTTTGTGATTCGAAACTTAACTATTCTTAGCACTATGCTAAGATTAGGCAAATAATACCACTTCCAATGTAGCATGATAGTTTTTAACATGCAGTTAATATATATATTCCTCATGCATCACTAAAATAAATAAATAAAATCTCCAACCATTCACCAAAATGAAAGACATAGACAAAGAGAGATAAATCTGAAGAAACAAAAAAAGAAACAAAATTTTACCCATATCAGATGCTGGGAAGGGTGGATGGGCTGCTAGTTGGAATACCTGCAAATCCAAAACCAAAATCAAAACAATACCTAATTGGAAAACATAATCAAAACCAATTTCAAATTAAGAAGCACAAGAAGAAGAGTGAGTCCTTTTCCCATGTAGAAGATTTAGAAGTCATGTAAATTAGGACTCTTCATATGCATGGTACCATTGATTGCAGTGAAGTTTCATGTTCAGTGGGTTGGGAAGTCCTGTAAACAGGAAAACATACAAGCCAAATAAAACAATAGTTATAGCTAACTACCCACAATTCAACTATTGGGTGTTGTCTAAAGTCAAATGTCGTATATTGCAAAGACTAGGCATTAAGAAAATCATTCATAAAAAGGCAAGAAACTACCTACTAAAACTTTGAAAGTAAGAGGAAGAAAATAACCATAAGGCACGTGCCCTTTTTCTGCCCGTTCTTTCTCTGCACGTCTCTTTTCCAGATCAACCCTACACAAGCACCAAGAAGCAGCTACATTATGAAAACTATCACAGAGACCACATCAATAGAATAGAAGTTAGAACTACCTTTGTAAAGGCCTGCAACTATCTCAGAGACCACATCAACCTCCACTATATTTTTTCTACTATGACCATGATTAAAAGTTTATATCAGTTGTTGAACTTCCACTTACATAAACAAAATTAAATGCAACTGAAACAACAATACTCAAAGCAATCATATAAAGCAAGAAAATTTACCTAAGAACGGAAATCAAAGTACACACATTTCAAATCCAAATTACCTAGTCTTTACTTTGAGGCCAGAGAAAACAAAATTCCCTACAATACAGGGGAAAGATGAATGGTATTTCAATGGAAATAACTGAGGAATCAAAATTCCCTAGAATACAAAAGCAAATATGATAAAATAGCACTACAATCATTGTCGAACTTTCAATTTGGCAAATACTAGTTTAGAACATAACTCCATGGCCTGAAGCAGCTTAGAAGCTTTTTCAATCAGAACCATAATTAAAGTTTTTTGAAAATTAGTAACATGCCAACTAAAAGCATAAAAATGAAATATATAAATAAAAAAACCAAGAACTAGCAGCAATTATAAATCTGGAGGGATGTACAATGAAGATTACCCAGGAATAAGCAATTGTTGTAAATCTACACATCAACTAATGGATAGCAGAGAAACATAATTTTTTTAAAAAAAAATCAACCCAAAGCAGAATCATAATGCCTACCCACCAACAAATTAAACCAGAAACCAAAAAACAAAACACACTAAGGAATTGAAACCCAATTCCTTTTATTTTTTTCAAACACAACCAATACATAGAAAAAGTAGTCTTACCTGCACGAGGCAAAACACATTAAGGAACTGAACCCAATATATATATATAAGAAAAATAAGAGCAAACAGAGGTGTGAGAGATTGGAGGTCGAAATTTAAGTCCACACACTGTAATTAACTTGTCGGGGCAATTAAAGCATGAGTAAAAAAAAAGCTTTGAAGTCCAATACATTCCAATAAATGAGCTCCAAACTTATCAATATTCAAAGATTTAAAAAAATCAAATAAATTAGACCCACCAAATATCCATAAATCAAAAACTATCAATCCATCACAGTCTCAACCACCTTGACAACCTTAATTTAACAGAAAAAATCATCTACCTCAACCCCCAATTCAATTTAGAAGCCCTAATTTAACAAAAAAAACCCCTAAATGCAAAGGAAGAGGATGCTTACCTTAAACTGATATAAGAGAGGAATTGAGGAAATAATATGACGCCGCCGACCTTGTCTCGTCGACGTCGTCACAGAATGAGGAGCGCCCATGGAAGGAATCAAAATCAGACAGAGATTGAGAAAAGAGGAGACAGAGCGGCTCTGTTCAAAGAGAGATGTAAGGAGATAGAATAATAAGAATAAGGAGACTAACTTACCTGAGAGGAGAAGAGATGTGGTCGTTGGTGCTGTCTCGTTGTCACATAAGGAGGAAAGGAGCGGTTGTGGAAGGAATTAAACTTGGAGGGAAAGAAAAATGAGAGGAGCGGCTGTGAAATGTCTTTGATTAAAGGAGAAAGCAATTGTTTTTGTTTTACCTACAGCAACAACAAGTTAACCGGTAACCAACAATCAACGGTGTGGATTACTTCACATGTCCAAACTACTCATCCAATTGTCATAATAGGTGGCGCATCCATACACCTGGAGCACTATAGAATTTTAGCAAAGTTTTAAAGTGGCAAGTTTTAGTATAAAGGTGCCACATATAGGTTAACAAATGACACTTTCAAAGAAAAAATTTGCTACTTTCATTGGGGATATTCTGAGCATCACCAAGGGTATAGGCAAATGAGTATGCAAACAATGTTTGACATGTCAAGAGAGTAAGCAAAATATACATATTGTTGTACCAACGGGCCCAATAGGATTCCACTCTCGATCCAAACTATGCACCGATATTGTCCCCACCTTAACCACCTAGAAGAGAGAAGGCCCAATAGACCTCTTGGTGTGGGGTTTTTAACTTAGGGCTCGTTTTGGAGTGATTCTGAGAGGGCCAAAATCACTTCCTATTGAGTATAATCACTTTTGCTTAAAAAATAGGGTGTTTGGTAAAAATTTAAAAGCGCTTAAAATAGGTATTAGAATCACTTGAAATGATTTTAGGGAGAAGCACATGGGAGGTGCTTCTCCTTGGAAAAAACCGGGAATCACTTGATTCCTTTTAATGAAAGTTTTGCAATACCAATATTATCCCTATTATTTTTACAATATGGCCAAAAAGCCTAACCCTACAATTTTTAAGCAATCCACACGTTTCATCCACCCTAGTTATCACGTCTTTGTCCCTGCCTCTATTCTTTCTCTGCAAAAGCTTCTTGCTCCCCCCTCTCTCGCTACAATCTCTGCAAGTAAGGCTATCATTCTTCAAGGTAAATTCTCTCTGTTCTCACTATATTTGTTTATGTACTTCTATATTTATCTTGATATTTTTTATTTTAGCTTTTCTTTTTTAGCATATAGTACTATGAAATTATCATGCTTCTTGATTCATATATTATATCACTACTAGTTATTAGTAAAAATATTATTAGAATCAGAAATTGAATTTATGAGAGAGAGAGAGAGAGAGAGAGAGAGAGAGAGAGAGAGAGAGAGAGAGAGAGAGAGAGAGAGAGAGAGAGAGAGAGAGAGAGAGAGAGAGAGAGAGAGAGAGAGAGAGAGAGAGAGAGAGAGAGAGAGAGAGAGAGAGAGAGAGAGAGAGAGAGAGAGAGAGAGAGAGAGAGAGAGAGAGAGAGAGAGAGAGAGAGAGAGAGAGAGAGAGAGAGAGAGAGAGAGAGAGAGAGAGAGAGAGAGAGAGAGAGAGAGAGAGAGAGAGAGAGAGAGAGAGAGAGAGAGAGAGAGAGAGAGAGAGAGAGAGAGAGAGAGAGAGAGAGAGAGAGAGAGAGAGAGAGAGAGAGAGAGAGAGAGAGAGAGAGAGAGAGAGAGAGAGAGAGAGAGAGAGAGAGAGAGAGAGAGAGAGAGAGAGAGAGAGAGAGAGAGAGAGAGAGAGAGAGAGAGAGAGAGAGAGAGAGAGAGAGAGAGAGAGAGAGAGAGAGAGAGAGAGAGAGAGAGAGAGAGAGAGAGAGAGAGAGAGAGAGAGAGAGAGAGAGAGAGAGAAAGGGCCAAAGCTAGCGTAGCAGTTGGCTATAATATGTCGATGCTATTATAAACACTTTGTTTTGCAATAATAGAAGGATATAGAAAGAGTTGTTTCATATTGCAATCTGTTTAGATGGGTTAATTAGTTTGCAATTTTGGGCTATATAAATGTGTTTTGAGCTCCTTTCCCCACATCAGACATAAGAATATGACATAGATGAACGTGTAAAGCAATCTTCATTCCACATTGATGTCAATGCCATGTGGTTGCCATATAGAAATTAAGAGAGGGAGAGAGACACGTACAGACACATAGATATTAAGAAAAAACTGTTGGATTTTAATGATGATTTGAATAACACAAAACCTATACATGCATAGAGACACGTACACTTACTAGAATTGTTGGTTTATGTATTAATGCTTAGTTTCAATTTGTTGTTCTATCTGAGCACTTTTTCTGATGCAAACGTTTTCATGTTGTGTGAAAGTGCGCCTCCATTTCTTCTTTGATACTAGCTTCTGGGTTTTTTTATTTCCTTTTGTTTGTGCTTTGTCTTATATACTTGTATGTTAAGCCAAACTTCTTGTTATATTGTACAATCATCATTAATTTTTTTTCTTTGTCCAATTTGTTTATTAGAAAATGTCTAACAATATAGTTAACCCATCCAAAATGAAAGTCGGGAAGAAAAAGAAAAACAAGAGAAAGCAAAATGGGATGACAAGGGAACTGAGGTTTTCATCAAGATTTGTGTTGCTGAGATGTTATGTGGTAATCGACCAAGTAGTCATTTTAATAAGGTTGGATGGAAAAATATTATAAAGAAGTTGAATGATATTACTAAAAGGAACTACGACTATAGACAATTGAAGAACAAATGGACTGGACTTAAGAAAGAATGGCAGTTATGGACAAGTTTGATTGCAAAAGAGACTGGATTAGGATGGGATCCTGTGAAGCAAACAATCAAAGCTACCGATGAATGGTGGGATAAGAAAATAAAGGTGAAAAATTTATTTCTTAAAGCTAATACTTAATTTGTAGTATTATATCAATTTTTTAACATTTTAAGTTCATATTATTATTGTAGGAGAAACCTGAGGTTGCAAGATTTCGAACACATGGATTGAAACATGTTGACCTGTTAGATATTTTGTTTAAAGATGTTGTCACGGTTGAAGGCGCTTGGGCACCTTCACAAGGTTTTATGGTGGAGGATGTTGACAATGGTCCAGCTATAGGAGAACATAATGAAGAGATTATGGTTGAGGAACAAGATGACTTTGGGTATAATATTGATCTTAATGCTGGACTTGAGGATATAGTTGATGTTGAAACTGACAATAAAAGGAAAAGAGATTCGAAAAGACCTGGAGTTGGGGTTAAGGTGACGAAGCGGTTAGATTCTATTTAACATGCAATTGAAAATCGAAGTAGCACTTTTAAAAGCAAAGACAAGGCTGGTTGTAGCATTGAGGAAGTGATGCAGGTGGTTGAAGGAATTCCATAAATTGTCAATGATGATGACCTTTTCATGAAAGCTGCTGATATCTTAACTGAAAGAAAAAATAGGAATAGGGAGATGTTTATTGCGTTAAAACAACCAAACTGACAAGTGATGTGGCTTACAAACAAGAAAGTTTAATGTGTCACGCTATTTTTTTTTATAAGCTTCATCGGTTCAGTATTGGAATGTTATTAGTTTATTATCATTTTATTTCTTACAATATGGAATGGTGGACATATTATTGTGTTTGACATTTATTGAATTGTTTACATTATCTAAATGGATTACTTTTGTTGGAAAGATGCTTATATTGTTTTGTTGATTTGGTTTTTTCAATTGTACAGACGTGAGTTCAAGCAACAGTGATGGTGATAATACTGACTCTTTGTCAGATGATAGTGATGATGAATTTTATGACTTAATATATGTAGGGTGTGTGGTGGTTGTGTCTGAATGGCTTAAATATGTTGATAAAGAACCATGCAAGACTTCTTCTCATACTGGGTATAAATGGGTAATTGAAGTTTTGAATGGCCATGAGGTAAGGTGTCATGAACAATTTAGGATGGAAAAACATGTGTTTAAGAAATTGTTGGAGACCCTTACAAGTACCTATGGTTTGAAAGAAGGTGGAGAAATACCATTACTAGAGGCTTTAGCAATGTTTCTTATCACATTAGGTCATGGCTTTATTAATAGAATGGTACAAGAAAGGTTCCAGCATTCAGGGGAGACTGTGTCAAGGTGGTTTGGGAAAATATTAGAAGCTATATACTGAATGGCTACTCATCTCATAAGTCCTAGTGATCCTGAATTCAAGAGAGTTCCAAAGAAAATTAAAGATGATAATCGATATTGGCCATACTTTAAAGATTGCATCGGGGCAATTGATGGAACACATGTACCAGTTGTTGTGCCTAGACAAAGGCAAGTCCCTTATATTGGTAGAAAAGGCATCACTACCCAAAATATCATGGTTGTATGTGATTTTAATATGTGCTTTACATTTGCTTGGGCTGGATGGGAAGGAGCTGCTCACGATGCACGTATATTCATGGAGGCCTTAAGAATACCAACACTGAAATTTCCACATCCACCTACTGGTTAGTAATCAAAATGTCATCAAGTTCAATATTTTCCTTTACTATTTCACCTTGGATATGTTTCTTATATCAATATTTTCCTTTACTGATTCACATGTATATATAGGTAAATATTATCTGGTTGATGCTGGCTATCCACAAATGAAAGGATATTTAGGCCCTTATAGGGGTGAATGATATCATCTTCCGGATTTCCGACGAGGAAGCCAACCAAGAGGGAAAAAAGAAATCTTCAATCACAGGCATTCATCTCTAAGATGCACAATTGAAAGAACATTTGGTGTTTGGAAAAACCGATGGAGAATGGTACGTCAAATTCATAATTTTCCTTTGGAAAAACAAGTACAAGTTGTTGTCGCTTCAATGGTTCTCCATAACTTCATAAGAATTCATTCAATGACGGATGTAGAGTTCCAACCATATGATGATGATGAAGAGTTACTTCCCCAAACAGATGATGGAAGGACTAGTACGGAAGAGACTATTGTACAAGAAAATGTAAACTCGTGCACGAGAGATGGATGTCGAACGCGAGAGAATTGCAAATCTTCTTATGTCTACTTGATATTTGTGTTGATTAACAATATATTTTATTCACATTTCTTTTTCAAGAAGTATGATTTGAAGCTATAGATTTTCAATTTTCGTTTAAGAATGCCCAAGATTTAATATTATGTGATTGGTTATCAACTTTAAAATATTTGATTATGAAAATACCAAAAAAAGGCAAAAAAAATCACGTTTTTCTTTGGGAAGCCAAACACTACAAATAACATCAAAATCACTTTTTTACAATATAAAAGCACTTTTATGTTGGTAGCCAAACGATAAAATGATTTTGCGGAAAGGCGCTACTAACATAAAGTGATTATGTTAAAATCACTAATGAGTAAAATCGCTTCTACATAATCACTCCCAAACGAGCCCTTAAAAGGCCTCGATACAATAAGGGGTGGACCACCTATATTTAAATTGTAGATTATTGTTGTATTCTCCAATGTGGGACTTACACATAATGGCATGTATCGAGCCACCTACACCAACACATACTTTCCCCAATATGCAGTGTTGCCCACTTTAAAATGAATATGTATACTGGGGCTCCACTTACTTTTTATAATACAATATTATCTCACATCTCTCACCTAAAAAAAAGTAATAATCAATAAAAAAAAGAAGAAGATAAAAATAAATAATATAATAATAGTTTATACAATTGCCACATATATAGTTTGTTAAGTGTTGCCACATATAATAATGGTTTCTTTCTTCAACATACAACATGGGTTGTTATAGAACATTTTTGTGTACTTCATTTGAATATTCCCTTGAAAATGCTCAAAACAAAGCAAAAGTTCGTTTAGGATGGTGTCCTAAAGGGAGTTGAGCGCTTCAGTTAGTTTTATTTTGAGAAATGAGTTGTAGTTTTTAACTTTCTTGAATTGCATTAGCTTTCAGGTTGTTTTCGCATACTTGTACAATCTCAAATTATTTTATTTTATTTTTTATACAAACGATAATAAGGAGGATGATTCAAACACACGACTTGGGTCCTTGCATAAGGAGCCATTTTTCCACACAGATAAATCACATTCAAACAACCGTGATCCAATTTTTGTGTGTGTATTTTTAACAAGCCATTTTCAGTATGAGTGGTGTATTTTTCACCACCACTATTCGTATTATATATGAGAAAATTTGTAGTAAAAAAATTATTAAAATAAGTAGAGAGAAATTGGAATGGTGTTAGAAATAGTGTCACTTTTCAATATAGGTGCTAATTTATGATTTGTATAGAAGGAGGAATGACTCATACTCTATGAATGCAAACAATATTCTCATTTGGTACTTAGGATTGAATTGTACCGAACAACTTAGACATGTTGACGGAAGAAATGAAGAAGTGTTGTCAAAATTGAAGGTAGAAAGATGGATTATTTAAGAATAAAATTTCACTCAATCCCCCAAAATGGTAAGATGCCAACACCTTATATAACTTATCCTTTCTAATCTCCCCCATAATGATAAAATCATTCACCTCTACATTCATTTCCTCTATAAAATACTTTGAATTTAGTGAGTTATATCCAAGTCGCCAGACGAGCTCAAGTGTAGTTTTTTTTTTCCTCTTCCAAAAAAAAGAAAACCCATAATCAATAAAAATAACACAAATGTTCTACATAGAAAAATAAATGTTAAAAAAAATAGAAAAAAAAGAAACAAATATTCATGATGAGATAATCATATGAGAAACCATATCCTGTTTTTATTTTTGTCTTTTGTTTTACCTACAGCAACAAGTTAACTGGTAATCAACAATCAACGGTGTGGATTATCTCTCATGCCCCAATTACTCATCCGATGGTTATAATAGTTGGCGCATCAGTGCCCTTGATTCCCTTCTGTCCTAGTCTCCCTTCATCATATCCACGTGATTCCCAAACTCAAAACCACAGCCGTCTGATCGCCAATCCCAAAATTTCAAAACACCGCGCCCAAAACTCCTCCATTTGAATTCAAATTCCTATTGACCGTTGCACCCTTCCTTTAAATCCCTAACCCCCCTCTCTCACTCACTCATTTCCTCTCTCTGGAACCTTCCGTCTCTCCGTCTCTCCAAACGCCACAGCCATGGCGATCGAGAAGAAACGCCCACTCCAAACCAGCAACAGCGCGAACATAGCCCCAGCCCCAACTGATGGCCAAGGGAAGACGATCGAAGAGATGTACCAGAAGAAGAGCCAGCTCGAGCACATCTTGCTCCGACCCGACACGTACATCGGGTCGATCGAGAAGCACACCCAAATCCTATGGGTCTACCAAAACGACGAGATGGTTAATCGTTCTATCAGCTACGTTCCCGGACTGTACAAGATCTTCGACGAGATCCTCGTCAACGCCGCCGATAATAAACAGCGAGACTCGTCCATGGACACCGTGAAAGTCACCATTGACGTCGAGCAGAACTGTATAAGTGTCTACAACAATGGGGCTGGAGTGCCCGTGGAGATTCACCAGGAGGAGAAGGTGTATGTGCCGGAGTTGATCTTCGGACACCTATTGACCAGTAGCAATTACGACGATACGGAGAAGAAGACCACTGGTGGTCGCAACGGCTATGGTGCCAAGCTTACGAACATTTTCTCTACCGAGTTCATCATCGAGACTGCTGACGGAAAGCGACAGAAGAAGTACAAGCAGGTATTAATATGTGTTTTCTAGAAGTTTTGTGATGCATGGTTCGTATTGTAGGATTTTAATGTATGGTGGAATTGGGGAATTAGGGTTTGTTATTGCTGTTTTTATATACGGGGATTCTGATTAATTAGGGTTCGTTTTTTATATGCATTTTCGTTTTTGTAACTTGTGATTTATTCGGGATTCTTTATGGTTTTTGTTAAAATGATGGATCCTGACTAGGTAGGTTTCCGATTGATTCGGATCTAGGCTTTCAATTCTTGTGGAGTAGTATCAGATGCCTTTAGGTTTTTTTCATTTTCAGTTTGAAGCCTACTGTGCTTGGATTGGACCTGGTATAGGATCTTGAATTTAGTATCCAATTGTGATTCTGGTTTTATTCTTTATCTTTTGAAAATTATGTGAGTGTGTGTATTGTTTATGGGTTGCATGTAATTCTTGATTTGACTGTATTTTAGTACTAGTGTGCTAGTGTAGTAGTTTTGTGTTAGTCGTTTAGGGGTTTGTTTGATAACATTGATGTGGACATGAACGGAGAACTTTACTTTTTACATACAAAAGACCATCATATGGTGTTAGCCTAATTTTGTTTCTAGGAACCTCCAG